AATAATAATAATAATAATAATAATAATAATATATACTTCCTAGGATTGTCATGAGAATACTGTTACTGACAGTTATCTGGCCTATGTGGTAATGTCTAAGTAAGCATTTGCTGTTACTGTTCGTCTTCAAAGAAGTCCTTCTATTGATCATATTTTTAATCATCAGTCACTATCAGCTTCATCATATATATATATATTGGAATATACCCAAATCTTTCCCTCCTTGAAAAAACTACTAAGAGAAGCAAAATACTAAGGATGACATTCATTTCTGCCTGAGTTAGCAGGTCTACAAAGCTAAACTTATTGATTGTGGTTCTTCTGCTTTTTTTAGCTGTGTTCTTGATTCTTGTCCTGTGACCTTTTTGCTATTTATGTCTTTCTTTTCTTAGACCTAGTGAAGTCTGATTCTGAAACTTGCCAGGTGTATACTCTATGCAAATTACTGCAACCTCTTTTTAAAAACTTCTATTAAGACAGGGCAAGTAACACTTATGCTGTAAAACAGTATTAAGGATTTAAAAGCATAATTTGTATATCATCAGCCTTAGAACTATTACTCTCAAGACTTGTATTCTTTTTTGGGGGGATACTGGGGATCGAACTCAGGACCTTACACTTGCCAGGCAGGCGCTGTGCTGCTGAGCTACATGCTGGCCCCAAGCCTTGTATGCTTAACTGACTAAACTTGTGATTTCTCAGAACTTGTACTTCCTTTCTTATCTCCAGATCTTTGCAAATGTAAATCTTTCCCACTACCAGGCACTAAGGGATATATGTATTCTACCACTTGTAGTTATTCATAATAGGTTCATATGACTAAGAAAAGGACCCAAAGTAATATTCATACAGTAAAGAATCTCATGTACCCAAAACTGGATTGTAAACAATAAAATGTTCAAGAACTTATGATTACCAAGATTTTGTTAGTAATAAAAGTATGTCTAACACTGTTTAATCTAGGTCTTTACCTCAAATTTGTCCACAGTATACTTTGGTGGGGTGGGGGGGAATCAGGGATCAAACTCAGGACATTGTGCTTGAAAGGCAGGCAGCAGCACCATTAAGTTAAATCCCCAGCCACTAGGTGTACTTTTTGTTTGAACCTTCTAAGGCCCAAATAATCAGTATTTCACTTTTATTCTTTTCCTATTCATTCTTTCATTCATTCATTTACAATACTGGAGGTTGAACCCAGGGAATCTGCACTGGGCTATATTCCTAGACCTTTTATTATTTAAGACAAGGTCTCACTAAGTCACTAAGTTGTCCAGGCTGGCTTGAACTTGAGAAATTTTCTACCTGAACCTCTCAGAGTGCTAGGATTATAGGCCTGCACCACCACATCCAACACTTTCTTTTTAAATTGACTTTTTTCTTCTGTGCTAGGGATCAAACTCGGGGCCTTGCATATGGTAGGCAAGTAAGTGCTCTACCACACAGAAACACCCCCACAAACCTTTTTTTTTTTTTTGAGAAAGTCTTGTTATATAGCCCAGGCTGGCCTCAAACTTGTGACCTTCCTGCCTTAGCCTCCAAAGTGCTGGGATTACAAATATGCAGTATCTTGCCTCGGTCTGAACAGGTATTTCAACACAAAGTATACAAGTAACAACATTTCCAAATTCATTAGTAAAATGGAAAATAACCATAATGAGAAACCAATACTTTTTTTTTTTTTTTTTGGAAACAGGGTCCTACCACATAGCCCAGGCTAGCCTCAAACACCTGATCCTCATGACTCAGCCTCCCACATATTGGTATCACAGGCACATACCACCACATCTGGTTTACATATCTTATTATTTTAATAGCCAACAATATCAGGTGCTGCAGAAGCTGTGGAGTAACAAGTTTCACATCTAACAGTGGGAATGCAAAATAATAAAGCCACTTTAGATAATAGGCTAGCAGTTTCTTATAAGGATAAATATACATTTACTATATATTCCAATAATCACAATCCTAGATATTTACCCAACAAATAAATATATGTCCACACAAAAACCTTTAGGCTTTACTCATAACCTCCATAATCTAGAGACAATCTAAATATTCATTAACGAGAGGATGATAAAATGCAACACAGTTATACCATGAGATACTTGCCAACAATATAGAATAAATGACTGATACATGCAACAACATAAATGAATTTCAAAAGTACTATGCTAATTGACAGAAATCAGAAACTGGCTACAGCCTAGGATTTAGCTCAGTGGTTCCACCACCTGCTTCACAAGCACATCACGAGCTTGATCCCTGGAACTAAATAAAAAAAGAAAAGAACAGAAAAGAAAAAGAAATAATAGCTACAAACTCTAAAATTTATTTATATATGCTATTCTGAAAAAAGAGAAACTACAGGGACAAAAAAAGAGACTAGTGGGTGCCAGGGACTGTGTATTAGCTACACAGGGTAATTTGATGGCTATATATGTAGGAAATAGAGGAAAAAGAAAATGTTAAAAACATTTCTAGAGGGCTGGGGATTTAGCTCAGTGGTTCCACTGCCTGCCTTGCAAGCACAAGGTCACAAGTTCGATCCCTGGAGCCCCCCCTCCAAAAAAAACATTTCTAGAAACTAGAAAGAGGGAGACTTAGTCTATTTTAAATTAGTCTTTCTGTAGAATATGAAAAATTAAATAGGAAAATATGCTCTTTTATAGCAACCTGAAGATGAAAGGTCCAAGAATGCTAAAAAAAAATGTCAAAGTTGGCTGGGCATGTTCCCAGCACTTAGGAAGCTAAGTCAGGAGGATCTCGAGTTTGAAGCTAGCCTAGGCTACCTATTGACTATAAAAACCTAATCTCAGGGCTGAGGATTTAGCTCAGTAGTTCTCCTGCCTGCCTTGCAAATACAAGGTCCTGAGTTTGATCCCTGGTACAAAAAAAAAATTATGCTGGGTCTTTTCATCCAAGTTGATCTCGACCTCATAGGATCAAGTGATTCTCCCAATTCAGCCTCTAAAGTAGCCAAGACTATAGCTGTTTCACCCTAGTCTCAGGTTCACAGAAAAATTGGGTGAAAAATAGATGATTTTTTTAAATAAATAATTACCTCTAAGATGAGATTAAGGTTTGTGGTGAGAGACTGAACACGGTGAAAACCAGCAATCAGTGAAATAGGCAAGAAACCTTGTTCATCCATCTTTCTCCGAAGAAAGAAGTCTCGTTCCAAATTTTCTATACTGAAGTAATATTCACTAAGAAGAGAAATAAACATAAATATCATCCACTTATTCAATAGGCTATAATATCTACTTGCTTACATATCAACCGCTTTGAAAATACTTTAATTTGGTTATTAGAGTATTTAAGCATAGATATATACCAATTTAATACAACATAAAAGATGGCAACAAAAGGGCCAGGGATTTAGCTCAGTGGCACCATGCCTGCAACACAAGCACAAGGTCCTGAGTTCAATCCCTGGTATCAAAAAAAAAAAAAAAGAGAGAGAGAGAGAAAAGAAATATAGCAAAACAAAATTACTGAATTACTAATTTCTCTTATCTGGGTACAAACTTCAAATACTGCTCATTTTCCAAAATATATTAATTTTTATTTAGGACAGACTCATTTAAATATAGATAATTAAAAGCTCATTTTACTTTAAAATGGTTCAGTAATTTATTTTGAGAAAGGGTCTCACTACATAGCCCAGGCTGACCTCAAACACAATCCTCCCGGTCTCAGTTTCCCCGGCAACCTCTACTCGCTTCATTTAAACATGAAATAACAAAATAAGCATATTTCAACATATTACCTCCTAACTTTCCCCAATCAGTGATAAGAATGGTATACTTCAAAATATCCTCTGTGGAAGTCATTTAAATTTAGTTTTCTTTCATTTTCTAAGTTGAAGAAGTAAGCCAGACATGGTGGTGCATGCCTGTAATTCCAGCACTTGGGAGGCTGAGGCAAGACGATAGCCACCAAGTTTGAGGTCAGCCTGGGCAACATAATGAGTTCAAGGCAAGCCTAAACTGCAGAGTGAAACCTTATCTTTAAATAAATAAAGTACTGAAATTGTATAATACTTCTTTTGAATCCTAGGAACCAGCAAAAAGCTGAGTAAAAACAGTGAACATGTATGCACTACACAATTATATATTTGAATGCTAAATTAAGTTACCTTTTTTTTTTTTGGTTGCTGAGAATTGAACCAAGGGCCTCCTGCAATGCTCTACTACTGAGAACAATCCCTCCAGGTCCTCCTACTTTCTTACTAACTGTAAGACATAACAAGTATCAGAGATAGGGAGTGTAGCTCAGTAATAGAGTGCTTTGCCTAGCAAGCATGAGGCCCTGGGTTCAATCACCAGCAAATCTTTAAAAAAAAAAAAGTGAACAGAAATGTTAATAGTATGATCAATGACTACAAATCTTAAGATACAAAGACAATATTCAATATATTTAATATTAGCTTTTGAGAAATACCTCTTTAATTAAAAACCTCCTTTTAAATAGAGCCAAATAGGAGAAAATGTATAAAATGAACAAATCAATGATTGATGACATACCATACAGTTTAGTAATCATACACTGTTTCCAACAGAGAAAGTTTTCAAAGGGTGGCAATTTATGAGTGAGTACACCAATCCATATTTCTGAGTATAAAACTCAGTGACTAGCTATCTTTGGATTATTTAAGACAAATTCTAACTCTAGGCACTTATGACCTTTCACTGGAGAAGGGGGAAAAAATCACCTCATTCAAAATGCAAATAATAGGGCCGGGGATTTAGCTCAGCGGTTCGGTGGCCTGCCTTGCAAGCGCAAGGACCCGAGTTCAACCCCCGGTACCAAAAAAAAAAAAAGGAAATAATACACGAATTTTCTTTGTAATATATTTGTCTGATTATCAAAATACAAAGTTTTCACCAGGATGGCAACACATACCTCTGGGAAGCTGAGGCAGAAGGATCACAAATTCAAGCCCAGCTTGGGCAATTTTGCAAGACCTTGTTTCAAAATAAAACACAATACAGGGGCAGGGAATGTATATTCAGTATGAAAGCCCTGAGTTCAATTCCTACCTCTGCCAGAGAGCAGAGGAACAGAGAAAGGAGGGGAGATAAGGAGAGAGGAGGGGAAGACCAATTTTAAGAGACAAAGTACTTATATTAGGGTTGTAACTATAGCTATAGATACACAGTGCAAGCTCTTGAAAATGTTAGTGAAATATTACTGACATCTCAGTAATGTTAGTAAGTCATTACTATTCTTACACATTGAAAAAAAAAATAAGACTTAAGGACATTGATATTCTAATCTTTGCTATACCTCAAAGCCCTATTCACAGTGCCTGGTAGGCATATAATAGAAATGGTGAAGCTCTAAAATTTTAGACATTAAGGCAGACATCTGTTTTAGTCACCACTATTAATGGATACAAATTTCTCTGAGTCAATAATAAATTTCCCAGCTAGTCATGGTGGCACACCCCTGTAATCTCAGAACTCAGGAGGCTGAGGCAGGAAGATCGCCCTGAGTTCAAAGCCAGCTTGGGCTACATAATGAGCTCAGGGCCAACCTGAACTACAAAGGGAGACCTTGCTTCAAAAAAATCAATCAATCAATCAATCAATAAATAAATAAAATTTCCCAGTCTCTAGAGGTGGCACATGGTTGTAATCCCAGCACTCTGGGAGGTTAAGGCATGTGGATTCCAAGTTCCAGAGTCTATCTCCAAATTTAAATAAAGGGCTGGGGACTTAGCTCAATGACTGAATGACCCTGGGTTCCATCCCCAGTACCATAAACAAACAAAAATAAAAAAGGCATTCCTTTAAATGTAATACTTCGTGAAAACAAAAACATCTAAAGATATTCATAAATATATCCATAAGTCCCCCTATTACCTACAGTACACATTTCTAATAAGGTGCAAACATTCTAATCTCTAAATTTGAATGCCAAGAGATGGTCTCAACTAGAAACAATCAAAAATTTAAGAAACTGGTGACATGAAAAATAGGAAATCTCACTGAATATTATTTCTTAATCATTCTGAATAGTTACCTTTAAAATACATGTAGCATGTATTTTGCCACAAGTAGAAGGAAAACTTTAGATAACTTCAGAAAGAAAAATCTAATCCTAGTCAGCTCACTTATGTACTATATTAAAAACCTCAATGACAAAGTCAAAGCGTGACTTCTCCAACATAGCTCTCTACTAATCAAAGAATACTAATAACGAGCCTCGCTAAACCAGGTGGGCTCCACTGCCAAAAACCCTACTGCTGAAACAATAGCAGAAAGGAGTCCTGACTGATGTCATGTTTGACATTTTGCTCAGTGTCCTAGCAGACATTACCATTTCCTACTGTAGCAGCTCTGGATTCTATATTGCATGATCAGAAACTTTGTCAATACTGGAGGAGCTTCTGCTCCTCCCTCAATTGTATGAGGCTGATTATGCGGACATGGAGCTATATGTCTATTGTCAGGTCTCAGAAGGAACCTGGCAGCAACAGTTACAAAAAAGACAGGAATAATGTAGGCTAACAGTCACATGCCAGACACTTCTAGCCAACAAAAAGAACCTTTCTTCAGTGTGTGCATCAACCATAACAAAAGATGCAAAAACAAAATGAACAAGTTGCTTCACACTGTAAGCCAATCAAATCCACATGAAGGCACTCAGGAAGGTGCCCAGCTGATGCAGTGAAGAAATTATTTTCTAAGAACAAAGCAGAGCTCATTTTCTTTCTTAAATAAGTTATGGGCTGGGGATTTAGCTCACCTGACTCACAAGCACAAGATCCTGTGTTTGATCCCCAGTGTCAAAAAAAAAAAAAAAAAAAAAAACGCTCTTTCAAAAGTAAAGTAGCCCTTTCCCTTCAGCTTGGAAAGGTAGGGAAAAGAATCAAACTTTATAAGATGGTTAAGCAAATCACTTGGGTAGGATTTTTCTCATGACTATATAAACACATTTCTGCATTTATATAAAAGCATACAAAATGCTCTACAGAATACTAATATGCAGATTTTTTTTCTTAAAGTCTATTTGTCTTAAAGACTAATACTTGTCTTAAAGACTAATACTACAAAATAAGTATCCAGAAAGCAACTATAAGGAATAAGCCTTCTGAACGATAAAACATTAAGTAGTCTTCTGTAATATGTGCCACAAAAAAAAAAAAAAATGCCACTAAAAAGAACTTGGTTATAAACTCAGAATTCACACGTTAGCTAAAACAAAATTGGAAGCTATCTGGCACTATTTTTGTCACTTACGTTCATTTGCAAAATTTAAATATACCTGTTTGCAAATGCATCTATCTATATTAGAAAATAATGAGTTAGGGTTTCACTTTTCCCTTTCAAACATGTAGAAGTTTTATATTCTTTTATGTATTCCTTATTATGTAGTGACATTTTAATTAATGTCCTTAAGTGAAGCAATATCTAAATGGTAGAGAAAGCAGACACTGTAAGAACAACGAGGGCCCAGCTCAGTGGTTCTGCCGTCTGCTTTGCAAGCACAATGTCAAGTTCAATACCCAGTACCCAACACCATGAACAGGGCCAGGGATGTAGTTCAGTGGCACCACACCTTCCTCACAAGCACAAGATCCTGAGTTCAATCCCAGTACCAAAAACAAAACAAAAAAACATGAACCAACTATACCTATATACTTACATAATTTTCTGGGTATCTGTGTTTGTTTAAGTGCTAGAGACTGAACCCAGGGCCTCACTCATGCTAAGCAAGTGCTCTACCACTGAGCTACACATTCCCAATCCTTTTAAATATTTGAGACAGGATCTCACAAAATTGCTCACGCTGGCCTTGAACTTGTAATTCTCCTGTCTCAGCCTCCAAGGAGCTGAGATTATAGATACACACTACCACAACCAGCCAAATATAATCTTTTTAAAAATACTTATTTTACTAGTCTTTCCTAGAAAATATAATCAATATTAACATACTCTAACTTTTAGTAAGTTTTTAAATGTTCTATTCACTTTCACTATAACTATTCACCATAAAAGTTTGATATTGCAACAAATTTTACTATCCCATATAATTACATCTGACATCAACTTACATTTGGCGTTTAATATATTCTTTAAGCAATGTTTCCTCCACAGGATACACCTGTATGCCTGTCCCATCATCATAGTAATACATCATACTGGTATTAAATTCCGTTTGAAATGGCTGATCAGTCCTTTCACCGTGTTCTCCATAACCACATGTACACTCAAAGTTCACTTGATTTGAATAAAAAAAAAAAGAAGGGTGATCACAGATTTTAAATAAAAGAAAATCCAAAGTAAAGTATTTCAAGGGTTAATAAAAATAAAGCCATGTTATTACCAGACCAAAAACAAAAAACCTAGTTAAAACATAATAAAGGACAATGTGAAAAACAGATGGTTTGCTCGCTTTTTTCAAAGTTCATCTAATTTAACCAAACAAAAAAATGTCATATGTCGAGGATTTCGTCTACCTCGTCCTCTTCCCCATCCTCGGCCTCTTCCTCGGCCTCTAAAAGAACCTTGGATAGTGCCACCCTTGCTTCTCACACTGGATACTTCATCTTGATCATCTCTTTTTTCTCTATCTCGCCTCCAACCTTTTTAAAATAAAAATATTGTTAATACATCCAGTTTGCAATAAAAGGACAGTTATCTGCATGAAAACATAGTAACCCTTCCCCCAACTTTAGAAGTAGTGAAAGTAGCCATGCTGTCTTCATATACACACTTAGAAGAAATCTGTCAAAAAGTCTCTGCCTCCTGCCACCATGAAGTGAGCAGTTTTGCTCCTCTATGCCCTTATGCATATTTTCGGCACCCTACCATGGACTGAAACCTCTGAAACTGTGAGAAAATAAACCTTTTTTTTGTTTTGTTTTGTTTTGTTTCGTTTTGAGACAGGGTGTCACTATGTAGTTAAGACTGACCTGGAACTCACTATGTAGCCCAGGCTGGCCTCAAACTCACAGCAATCCTCCTGCCTCAGTCTCCCAAGTGCTGGGATTACAGGTGTGCACAAGCCACCACACCCGGCTTAAACTTCTTCTTTAAAAACAAACTATTTCTGGCATAAGATGAATCATGTTTAGTAGCAGCATATAAAAGATTTTAATAAATATACTAGAAAGATAAATAGAAAGATAAATCTTTGTGAAGATTGTTCAGTTAAATATTCACAAAGTTTCAAACCTAAGTTCATAAGATAAAATGCCTAAAGCTGGGCCAGGGATAGTCCTGAGTTTGATCCCCACTACCAAAAAAAAAAAAAAAAAAAAAAATTCCTAAAGTTAGATTCGGTGGCACACAGGTTTAATCCCAGAACTCCGGGAAGTTAAAGACAGCAGGATCAAAAGTTCAAGCCTGGGCTGGCCGGGTGTGGGGGCGCATGCCTACAATCCCAGCACTCTGGAGGCTGAGGCAGGAGGATCACTGTGAGTTCGAGACCAGCCTGGGCTACATGGTGAATTCCAGGTCTATCTCAACTACATAGTGAGACCCCGTCTCAAAAAACAAAAAAAAAAAAAAAAAAAAGTTCAAGTCTGGGCTGAGCAACTGAGTGCCTGAGTTTAATTCCCAAGACCACCAAAAATTAAAAAAAAAAAAAAATTAACAATAGAAAAGACCAAACTCAAAAAAATATTTTTTTTTCAAACTGGGGGTGGTGATGGCACATGCCTGTAGTCCCAGTACTTAGGAGGCTGAGGCAGAAGGATCACAACTTTCATAAAATGTTTAAGAATGTTTCTATATAAGACTTTCCATTTAAAGAAAAACATTATAAACAAAATAAGTAAAGCTGGGGATTTAGCTGAGTGGTTCCGCTGCCTGCCTCGCAGGTACAAGGTCCTGAGTTTGATCCCCAGTACCAAAAAACAGAACAAAAAATTTAAAAAAAAGCAAAGATACATAAAATATAATAAAGGAGTAATATTTACAATATAGTACCTACAATGACTGATATTACTCTTTCACACAAATACAAGAAACACAGAGAAAAAAGAAAACGACTAAAACATTAGTGGGGCAAATATATATACAAATGGCCAATGGATATAGATTCAGCCTCACTGGCCATGAAAAATGAAATCAAGACAATGAAGGAGTCTCATATACCAAATCTAAAAGACATTTTAAGATCCTCTAATATCAAAAAGAAAAGATAAAGCATTTGTATACTGAGAATAAGAGTGAAAAACTTTAAATAGAATAATGTAATAAATGTAAAGATAAGCAAATCACAGAACAAGCATTCTCAAACCTTAGAACTTCCAACTCTTCAGTGTGTAGAGCTGAGGAGGCTTGAGCACTGTGGGATGTTTAGCATCGTCCATCATTTCTACCCACTAGATACCAGGTGTGTTCTCACAGTACCCTGGTTGTGACAACCAATAGTATCTTCACACATCACAAAATCTTCCCCCTGAGAACCACTGCCCTAGTCTAAGTCCACCCTTAATGCTTCTCTTAAAACAGTCTTTTTCAAATATTTCTGCTGGAATCTGCATAAGCTTTGTATCATAACCCAATCAACTAACAAAAACTTTTAATATAAAATACAAATGCTATGAAAAATATTTACTAAGTACTCTATCAATAATTTTAAAAACCAGACTCTGACCTCATATACTAATTTCCTACTTCTCACATAGGTTGCAGTCTGCAGCCTGAAAAAATTATCACAGAGAACCTCTTGCACTTATGTAATATTAGACATGCATTAAAATATTCATGTTGAGGGCTGGGGATTTAGCTCAGTGGTGCCGCTGCCTGCCTCGAAAGCACAAGTCCCAAGTTCAATCCCCGATACAAAAAAAAATTCATGTTGATACTTTAGTATGAAAAAATACAATCAATTCAAATGTCCATCCACAGTTAACTGATTTTACCAAACAGTGAAATATCTTTTACCAGAGTGAAAGAAAAAGAATAAATTACAGCAAGACAACCAACACATATGAGTCTCAGAAAATTATTAAGACTAAGTGAAAAAACTGCTGACAAAGAACATGTTAATGGAATCATACTACAATTTCAAAACATGCAAAAACTAAAAAATTCAAGCCTATTTTTTCTCAGAAAGGAGGCAATGTGATGACACTGAAGTGGACACGCAGGGAAGTTTAATATACGTTTCTTGGATTTTTTTTCTTTTTCTTTTCTGAGAGCGTCTCACTATGTAGCCTGGCCTTGAACTATGTATCCCAAATTGGCTTTGAACTTGTGGCGATCACCCTGCCTCTGCTTCCCAAGTGCTGGGAATATAGGCATACACCACCATGGCCAGCTAAGGTGTGTTTAACATGCTAAGTTTCCAGTGTTCGTTATAGTATTATTCTTTATGACCTCACATGTATATTTTCTTATTTTCTCAATATTGTAATTAAATTTTTAAAAAATTTATATTGAATATCCAGTATTTTTATAATAAAACCTTTACATGATATACACTTTTTAAACAATGAAAAGGTCTTTTTAAGTCTTATAATTTTAAAATGGTATTTTATAAATAGCAGAAAAATCTGACAACACTGTTAGTGACAAGGAAATCAGCGATTTTCTTAGATGATACTTTAGAATATCAATGATGAAGTGTGATATCTCCAATTTCAAATGATTCAGCACAGAAATAAATAAAGCAAAATTACTAAGTCTAGATAATGGTTATGCAGGTACTCACTGTATAATTCATTCTACATTTAAAATTTTCCAGGCTGAGCATGGGGGTGCACACCTGTAATAATCTTAGCACTCAGGAGGCTGAGCAAGAGGATTGCCCCTTAAGCCCGGAGTACATAGTGAGGTCAAGGCCAGCCCCGTCTTAAAAAAATTAAATAAAGTTTTTTTGTAATTGGAAATTTTTAAATATTTCATTAAAAAAAAATCTGTCTTCTGATACAGTACATGTCTTATCAGACTTGTAAGGTTTTAGCAAAAATCTATAAAACCAAATGATCATTCCATTTCACCTATCTTTGTCCTCTGCTTTCTGAAATCTAAGTATACCCTGTTGAAACATACCTGTAAAATGATTTTCTGGGTTTTGGGTTTTGTTTTGTCCTTGAGTTGGAGCCTTGCTATGCCGTCCAGGCTAGTCTTGAACTCCTGGACTCAAGCGATACCCCCCCACAAACACACCTCAGGCTCACAGGTAGCTGGGACAACAGGTACACACAACTGCACTCAGGTGTGGAATTTTTAAATTTTTATTTATTTTTATGGTATAGGAGACTGATCCTAGGGCCTTTGTTCTGAGGTAAATTCTCTACCCTTATTTCTTACTTAAATCAGTGTCTCACTAAGTCCCTGATTTGTGCAGGTTGGGCTCAAATTTGCAATTTACCTCCCTCAGCCTCTCAGAGTTCTGGGGATATAGGTAGTGCCACCACACCCTCCTCATAAAGTACATCTGGATGTTGGTTGTACTCAATAGTAACACTATTGGGAGATGGTGGAACCTTTAGCAAGTCACTGAGGTTTGCCTTGGGAAGGGACTGAGAGACCTGTCTGGACTGTTTCCTGGCTCTACACATAACTTTCACTCTGACACTTGCTACCACCATAAGCCCAAACCAACGGGGGCCGCTGATCTTGGACTAGAAGTCAATATAAATTTCTCCTTGCTTCATAAGTCAACTATGTCACATATTTGTCAGTGACAGAAAGCTAACACACCACAGGATGGTGCAATCAATCCCCTCACTGGCATTTACTTAAGAAACAAAGTAGCTCAGTGGTAGAGCACTAGCAAGACCCTGAGTTTGATCCCCTGTACAGCAAAAAAATAAATAAATAAAATAAATGCCACGAGCATTTGCCTCTTAACAGCCCAAAAGTAGACAAAGCCAATTATCCATCATCAAATGAATGGATAAAGGAGTTTATCCATTAAAAAGAATATTATTTGGCAATAAAGAGGTAGAAACTACTAATACATAGACAATATAGATGAATCTTAAAAAACAACTCTGAGGAGCCAAGTGTGGTGGTGCACACCTGTAATCCCAGCACATGGGAGGCTGAGGCAGGAGGATCACCATGAATTCAAGGCCAGCCTGATCAACATAGCAAGGCCCTGCCTCAAACCACCTTCCCCTCCCACAAAAAAATGCTGAGCACAAGGAAACAAAACATAAAGCATATTGTTACAGTTCCATTTACATGAAATTCTCAAAAACTGTCCTACAATGATAGAAAGCAGACTAGTGGTTAAGGTTGGTTGAGGTAAATATATAAATATGTCAGTATCAGGAATTGAACCCAGGGCCTTGCACATGCTAGCAAAGCACTCTTTGCTACCGAGCTACATACCCAACCCTTTTTCAGACAAGGTCTTGCCCTGGTTGGCCTGAAACTTAAGATCCTCCTGCCTCCAGAGTAGCTGGAATTACAAGTGTGCATCACTATGACTAGGAGAGTTGTTTGTTGAAAAAAAGGACTCGAGGGTTGGAGTTAGCTGAGTGCTGGAGAATTTGCCCACAAGCCTTGGCTTTCATTTCCAAAACAAAATAAAGCAAAAATTGAAAATGGATAAACTACCCAGAAGAGGCTCACATAAGCCAAATCTGGAAGTTTAAAAATAAAGTGAAAGCATCATATTGTTATAACACATTAAATAAAGAAGCTATGAATCCACAATGACAATAAGAAGTTATTCCTTACAATATTCATAAAAACAATGCAATAAGAAAAACCAGCATCTGCAATCATCAATAATAACTCAATCTGGCAAGAATCACTCCTGGAAGCTAAAGTTCATGTGAAAAATCTAAAGAATAATCAGTTCCACAGCTTCAAAGCTTCACAAAAGTATATACTAACTACAAAGGAGGAAAGAGCATCTTTAGAATAAAAAATCTCAACTATGGGTTCAAACAGTATCATAAGCATTCTCACATGTTATGCATTAATAGGAAAACTGTATCTGTCAAAACTTCATAGCCCTTGGGGCTAGGGATTTAGCTCAGTGGCACCATGCCTACCTCGCAAGCGTAAGATCCAAAATTCAATCCCAGTACCCCCCAAAATGTTAAGAGTCTAAATAGAAAAAGCAACTGAAGGCAATGTGTAATCCCGAGCGTTGGGGGTGGGAGTAAGGAAATATAGAGAAGATCTGCCCATGAGAACAGTTAAACTTCAGTGTTAACTGTGCTATGGTAACCAGTGATGCACTCTTAAAATCCCAACTACTCTGGAGGCTCAGGCAGTAGGATCACAAATCCAAGAACAGCCAAGACAATTTAGCAAGACCTGTATGCAAATAAAAATTAAAAGGGGCTGGAAATATAGTTCAGTGGTACAGCATTTGCCTAGCATGCGCAAGGCCCTGGATTCTATCTTCAGTACAACAAAAATAAAAATTAAAACACTGCTATGGTTATACTGTTCTTATGAATGAAAGTCTAAAGGCATTTATGGTTAAATAGACAAGCTGCTTGCAATTTACTGTCAAGTGGTTTATACTATAGTTACTAATACAATAAGCACTAAAGCTAAGTTTTTTAGTCATACTTCTCTTAGAATATAACTTACTTCGTGTATCATTTCTCCTGTTATTATGTGCTGACTTATTTGCTTCAGCTTGATATCTTGAGTTATTCCGGGATCCAGGTCTTTCTTGACTGTCTGGCCTAAGATCATATAAGTGGAGCGGTACCCACTTGTGCTTATTAGCTTAAAGAAAATAGATAAAATCATTTAGTGACAAGGCATAATTTTCACTAAAGCTTTGCAATTCTGAAAGCATGCCAAATTTTAACTAAATAGCTTACACGGATTATTTGTAGAGTACCAAAATAATCTTTTCCTTTTTCACCCAGATATTTGATAAACTTAAGTAAAATTCTAAATTTCAAGTGAAAAGCCAATGGTAGAATGCCATTAGAATTACTTTAAGTGAAATGCAAACATTTCTGTTTAATTTAGATGGATGGGTTATTTTAAATTATACACACACACACACACACAGAGATTCCTGTTAACTAACTTAATTCTTAGGCTTAGAATGACACATGTAAGATGACATTATAATGCCTAGGGAATTAGGTTTGGGGTTCAAAACACTTTTCGTTTCAGATCATTGTGTAACACATTTATCCGAAGAATACTACTAATGAATGATGTTTCCCAAAGAGGGATAAGAATAAGAATCTGTCCACTTCAACACAAAAATATTTAGTTATTACACATCTTCCTAACTCAAGAAGAGTTAGGAATTACAAATTAACTTTTTTTAATAACTGATGACATATCTAATTGCTATGATTACATTAGAATAAAATTTCTGAAGATTACATTTTCATTAATTCCAAAGTTAAGCTTTCTTATTTGTTTTTCTGCCCAACTGACATTTTCTTTTTTCTTTCTTGTTTTTTGTTTTTTGTTTTTTTTGGTACCAGGGATCAAACTCAGGACCTTGCACTTTCGAGGCAGGCAATGGAATCACTGAGTTAAATCCCTGGTCCCCAAATGACATTTTCTACGAAAATAAAAAAAGGCTCAAGGCAAAGGAAAAACTACAAAATAAATAAGGGAAAAGAAATGATAGTGTCAATTAAGTACTTATTTCCTATAAATCCCATAAACCAATGGAGCAGATAAAGGTCATAGAACATGAAAAAAAATTTTTATATCTTAAAAACACCTTAAAACCTTCTGTAAATTCTATCAATAACATTCTCATAAATGGGAACCAAGACCTGTCATGTAAAGGTACAAGATCCCAATGATGAATATAACTGTGTTGTGTACCTAAAATGTACCAATAAACTCAATGAAAAAAAAAAATTCTCAGGAATAAGCAAGTTCCAGGTGTGGTAGCGCATGTCTGTAACCCCAGCACTTGGGAGGATGAGGCAGGAGAATCACAGCAAGTTTGAGGCCAGCCTGGACCACATAGTGAGTTCAAGTCCAGCTTGAACTACATAGCAAGACTCTATCTCAAAAACACAAAACAAAATATATTCTCTAGGGGATCAATTCACAGCTTGATTTTATGAACACTCTTCAAAATATCTGGTGATAGTGTTAACCAATCAATTCTTAATAGAAGAAACTAACAAGCAGGACTAATTTTAGGGTGTCAGGTTCATCATCTATATGAATTCCAGACAGCTAAATACTACTTATGTCTCTAGGACACAGAAAAAAAGTGATAAAGTGGTTACAAGTTAGAAGTTTTTCTAATAGTACTTGGTTGCCCTGTTTTATCGACTTTTCAGCAATTAACCTTTGCTCATTGTATCAAGGGATCTTAAACATATCCTGCAGCAAATAAAATATTCAGAAAAAAAGCAAATTATTCAACTAAGTGCTCAGTATAGGACAGCCTGTTAGTTCCAGAATTAGCAAGTTGTCTGGCATCTACTATGCCATTCAATGTTCCCTCCCATGTTGTATTTATCTTGCGCTCACATACTGTGTATTTGCATGTTGTATTTACTGTGCAGTAAAGTTTTCAATGGCCTCTGTGGCACTCAAAGTGATAGAGGGCCAGGGATTTAGCTCAGTGATTCTGCCACCAGCCCTGCAAGCACAAGGTCCTGAGTTCAATCCCCAGTATCAAAATTAATTAATTAATTAATTTAAAAAAAAAAAGAAAGAAAGAAAGAAAGAGGTAGAGCTGGGGGTAACTCAGTAGAGCACTTTCCTAGCTTGTGTGAGGCGTTGAGTTTAAATACATTCTTTAAGTTACCAGGCCATATAGGCTGTGGACCACGTCTGTCTCTCAACTTATCTCCTGCCAAGTTCTCTGGGCTCAAAACACTAAAGAGAAAATGCTTTTACGAGGCAGGCACTGGTACCATTGAGCTAAATCCCTAGCCCAATAAATGCTTTTTTACAAAGCAGGTAAATTATTTGTCCCTAGACACCTGAAAAGTTCAGAGAAGATAATGGAAAAGTATGTAAAGACAATTCTTTTTCCTTCAAAGCCTGATTTTCAGCAAATGAAGGAAAAAGGCAACTAAAAATTTCCTCTATTTTCTCTTAGAAAAATGAGTCCTGAAACAGAACTCCATAAGAAACAGAGGGCAGTTCCAAGGCAGATTTAAAAGAACAGTAATCACACAGCTTTCTATATCTACTATCAATAAAGCTATAACTAGAACTTCATCCCATTTTCTTGCAAACAGCAGCATGAGTGCAGAGAAAAAAGGAAAGGCTAGCAGTCCAGAAATGTTACAGTGAAAAATAAGTAACTAAGGCAGATGGTTTATCCACTGATGAAGACCACAGACAAGTCTCAATTACTACAACTTTCTTCAAAACTTTATTAAGACGAAGATGCAGGTAACTGACCTCTCTTTCGCTGACTACTTGAATGAGCCTCATGCTCACTCACGTTTTCACCAGGACCATTGAATTTTGTTTCCCGGTTTTCTTTGCTCTCACTGTTACTTCTCTTTTCAACCTTCTCTTCTTTTTCTTTTCTAATTTGTGGCTTCTTACTTCCTTGGCTTAGGACACTCTGAAACTGCAAAAAGGTTTTCTAAACAGAACAATTTTTCATTAACATTTTCACTAGCATATCCAAAAATCTGTGATATACCTTACCTAAATATTGTAAAACAAATGACAAATTTATAAAATATAAAAAACTACATTTTGCTGGGCTTGGTGGTACACGCCTGTAATCACAGTGCTCAGGAGGCTGAGGCAGGAGGATCGCCATGAGTTTGAGGCCAGCCTGGACTACATAGTGAGTTCAAGGCCAGCTGCAAATGCATGGAGAAGCCCTGTTTCCAAAACCAAAAATAAATAACTAGGTAAATAAACAAACTACTTTTCACAAGAAAATATGAAGAGAAAAAAAGTCAAGTTGCAGGCTGGGAGAAAATACCTGAGCTAAGTATTTGATAAGGGACTTGTGTAAGTGCATATATATGTATGTATGTATAATGAACACTCAAAATTAAGTAGAAAATAAATCCAACCTGGGACTGTAGCTCAGTGATAGAGTGCATATCTACCACATCTGAGGCTGTGGGCTCAATCTCAAGTACTTGCAAAGAACTACAAAAAAAGATTACCTTTTCTTCCTCCAGGACTGGGGGTTGAATGCAGGACCATCACAGTAAGCTACTAAATTGCCCAAACTGGGCATGAACTTGTGATCCTCCAGCCTTAGCTTCCCGAGTGCTGGATTACAGCTTGTGACTGGAGTGCATTCCAACATTCTGGGAGACTGAGGCCACAAATTGGAGACAGCCTGGGCAACTCAGCTACTTAGCTAGACCAGACCCTACCTCAAAATATCAAAAAATTTAAAAAGGGCTGGGGGGCCGGGGATTTGGCTCAGTGGTGCCGCTGCCTGCCTTGCAAGCAATCGCAAGGTCCTAAGTTCAATTCCCAGTACCAAAAAATAGCCGGGCGTGGTGGCACACCTCTTTAATTCCAGCACTTGGGAGGCTGAGACAGGAGGATCACTGTGAGTTGAGAACAAGCTAGGCTATATAGTAAGTTCCAGGTCAGTCTCAACTACATAGTGAGACCCTGTCTCAAAAAAATAAAAAATAAAATAAAATAAATAAAAAATAAAAAGGGCTGGGGTAGGCCTTGAGTTTAATGCCCTCAGTAACAAAAACAGCCCAGGTGTTGCCACATGCCTATAATCCCAACACTCAGAAAGCTGAGGGAAGAGATCATAAATTCAAAGCCAAGCCAGGCCTGGTAGCACACATCAGTAATCCCAGCACTCTGGAGGCTGAGGCAGGAGAATCTTCCTGAGTCCAAGGATACACTATGTTACAAAGTGAGTCCAAAGCTAGAGTGAGTTAAGCGAGACCATGTCTCAAAAAAAAAAAAAAAAAATTAATGAGGATGTAAATTAACTGGAATTCTCATACACTCCTGGTAGGAGTTCAAAGTTTGGCAGTTCCTTATTTTTTTTTTTTCTTTTGTCACTTTGACACAGTCTCGCTATGCAGTTCAGGCTGGCCTTGAACTTACTATGTAGCCCATTCTGGCCTCAAACTTGTGGGGATTCTCTTGCTTCAGCCTCTGCAAGAATGACAGGTGTGCACCACCACATCTGGCCTAGGAGTTCTTTAAACAGCTAAACAAACAGGTACCATATGATGCAGTCGTTCTACTCGTCTTTGCCAAGAAAAAATGAAAGCATATATCCATGCAAAATTTTGTACACAAATGTTTATATAGCAGTTTTGTCATACCCAAAACTGGAATCAATGCAAATGTCCATCAATTGTAAGTAAATTGACAAACTGTTTCAACCACACAGTGGAATACTACTATGAAACAAAATGAATTAACAACAAATACAAATACAATTTTCAGTGTTCATTATACATATATATATATATATATGCACATATGTAAATCTCAAAATGATTATGCCAAGTGAAAGCCCCCCAACAAATCACAGTGACAAAGCATACAAATCAGTGGTTCCTGGAATTGCAGGAGTGGATGGGATACAAAGAATACGAAAGCAGGTAATGAAAACTTTTAGGGGTAGTGGTTAAATTCATTACCTTGATGGTGGTAAAATTTTCATAGGTATACACCAGTCAAAACTCATACAACTATTTACTTTACATATGTGCAGTTCATTGTCATTTATACCTCAGCTAAGCTATTTAAATTAATCACATATCAATTTAATACAAGGTACAGTGTCAAATGAAAACATGCAACCATAGAGGCTACCCCTCCAAAAAGTCTCCTGATAGGGTACATTAGAGCCATCATTCAGACCTTCTTTCACAGTTAAAATTAAAAATCCATTCATTGCACACTTCATAACATGATACGTATGTGCACATATATTATGTATGTATGTGCATGTACACTTAGCTCTTTGACCCAGTGAAAAAAATATAATCAAAGAAGACACACTTGGGCCAGGGATGCAGCTCAGTCAGCACAGCGTCTGCCTGGCAAGTACAAGGTCCTGAATTTAAGCCCCAGTACCAGAAACAAAACAAAACAAAAAACAAGCAAACAAAAAGAAGACATTGTACAAATTTTCGAACATAAAACAGGCTTCAGTTAGACATAAGCATTGCAGCATGGTGACAACCAGGTACCTCTATCAACCCCACACATCCCACCCTGCTCTCAACCTAAGAATACAACCAGATGAGGGAAATATGATGAAAAAAATCAAGCACCTAGCCAGATATGGTGATGTACCCCTGTAATGCCAGTACTCTGGAGGCCAAGGCAGGAGAATCACTGAGTTTGAGAACAGCCTGGGCTACAGAATCAGTTCAAGGCCAGCCTGAACTACACAGTGAGACCTTGTCTCAAAAAACCTTAATAAAAAGGGAAGGGAGTGCTGGGGACGCAGTTCAATGCAAAGGCTGTAGGTTCAATTCCTAGTGCTGAAAAAAAAAAAAGAAAAAGAAAAAAAAAAAAAACAGGCATCTGAAAAATAGGTAAGACTATAAAAAGGGTAGCTGCCAAATTTTCAGCACTTCTTTATCGTGTATATAATTTTATAAGAACACAAAATCTTGATTCATTATCATTTGTAATATGTTCATTATTACAGAAATAACAGGTAAAACTTACTGTAAGAAACATCAGCTAACAAGTTCATTACTAATACTACCGGCAAGATCAAAAGATTACTACAAATTAACAAAAAAAGTACTCATCAATAGATTAAGTCTGTATGTATGTCCTTCACAATGAAATTTTTTTAGGTTCATTTGTCTGTTCTTGCAGCACTGGGAATTGAACCCAGAACTTTCTCACTGAGCTACATCCCCAAACTTTTGCTAATTTGAGAAAATATTTTGCTCATATTGCTAAACCGCAGAAGCTGGGCTCAAATTTGTGCTCCTTCTGACACAGCCTCCCAAAGTGCTGGCATTGACAGGCATGTACCACCATGTCTGGCTTAGATTTTAAATAAAATAAACTCTGCATGTTAAAATGAGAATGTGCCTTTTAATTATTTTTAAAGGCCTTAAAATAATACTTACTCCAGTGTTCACTAATTCACCTGGTGTTGGCCAAAGAGCCATATCGCTGAAATCACTGGCCTAAAAAAATAATACATAAATGTTATGTCTGCAGATTCTGTTTTTGAATTTTTAAATAGAAGAGATATTTGCTAAAAGTGATAATAATGTTAAAAATCACCCATGTACATTCTGTCATAAAGATATTTGCCAAATTAACTGAAAAGTTTCTCCAAACAAAACACTTTGAGCTGGGGATTTAGCTCAGTGGCTCCGCACCTGCCTCATAGGTGCAAGGTCCTGAGTTCCATCCACGATACCACAAAATAACAAAAAACCCACTTTTGAAGTAAAGATGTTTTGGTCTCATGAGCAAACTGAGCAGTACTACATGATATTAATTAGACACATGATAACAGAAGTCTATAGGGATGTAGGGATAAAGGCTACAATTCTCTAGAACATCAGTGGCAAACTGTGGCACTTGTGTGGGGCGGAAGGGGGGGGTTGTCATCACTGAAAGCTTTAAAAGGTTTGCCACCACTGCTCAATACTATTAACTTCAAACTAATATAATTATCTAAGAAGAGATCCTATTTATTTTCAAAAATGAATAGAGTTAAGAATATTTCCTGAAAAGACATACCTTGTTGGATTTCTTTGTCTTGAGTATTCCTGCTTTTATAGGTTTTGGGGAACTGAGCTCTAAAGAAAAATACATGAAATTGTCTTAACAACTATGTCATTCGATATAGTTAGCAAAATAAGTATTATATACCAATTTCAGTATGACAATGTAGTCTTCACTTCTAACAAAATCCAAACTTCTGAAATTCAAATTCCTAACAAGAAATCATCTACCTTTAATATGTAGATTCAAATTGGCCTTTCATATCCACATCAAGAAGAAAATATGAATAGTTCAATTTACAAACTGATAGACCAAACCTTTAAATAATAGAATATTAGAAAACTCAGAAATATAACTGGAGCAAGGAATGCAGCAATGGGGATTGAACACAGGACATTCACAGTGACCTATACCCCAGGCTTTTCTTTTTATTTTTATTTTGAGACAGGGCCTCAGCTAAGTAGCTAAATTGTCCAGGCTGGGATAAACTTGCAATCATACTGTCTCAGCCTCCCAAAGTTCTTGGTTTACAGGTATATACCACCATGCCTCACTAGAAATATATTTTTAATACAGTGAAGTTCAACTCAAATTCTAATAGGTTGTATTTTTCTATGAATTAATACTTTAGCAAAGGTACATTCAGAAAATAGGTCAGAAGACAATTATTTGTCCTAGGAAACAAACAGGTTTGACAACCTTACTAAGTTTTAGCTAGAATCAAGCCGTAAGAAAGAAAATAACTAGTCTCTGTGTAAAAGTTTGTGTAAGACCATCACTGTACTTATCTTTGTCTTAAATAAAAGCACAGTGGTGGACAATAAAAGCCAAAAATACACTATCTCCAAATGAAGAAGCTTTTACTGCCTTTTAGTTTTCTGCATTACTTGGTCAAGATAACCAGATGGCACAATCATCTAGCTGAACATCATCAAAAGTAAACAAACAAACAAAAAAAAACCAAAAACATACTTGGGATCTGCATCAATATATATCATAGTAATCCAGCAAAGTATGGAAACCTATCAGTCATGGCAAAAGCCAATTGAGAGAATAAAGCATTGTTTGCGTTTAAAAATGCAAAAGCAGCCAGGCAGGTGACACAAGGCTGGAATCCTTAGGGAAGCTAAGGTAGGAGGATTATGGGTTCCAGACCAGACTGGGATAAACAGCAAGACCTTGTCTCTTTTTTTTTTTTTGGACCAGGAATTAAACTCGGGACCTTGAGCTTGCAAGGCAGGTGGCGGAACCAATGAGCTAACCAGCCCAAAACCTTGTCTCAAAAAGACAAAAATATCCAGGAATGGAGGAGATAGGGAGAAGGGGGAAAATGGAAGTAAAAAGGATCAAAATAGAATTAATAAGCACTACTTCCCCATGAATGTACTTATGTATTGCAAACTATACTCATTTTTAAAAAGGGGAAGGGGAACCAGGCATAGCGGTGCAAGCCTATAATCCCACCACTCAGAAGGACCTCCTCAAATTCCAGGCCAGCCTGGGCTACAGTGAGCTCCAAGCCAGCATGAATTACATAGCTATATGTCTCAAAACACAAAACAAAGCTGGGTGTCATAGCCCATGCCTGTAATCCCACCACTCAGGAGACTAAGGCAGGAGGATTAGTTTGCGGCCAGCCTGGGCTACATAGTGAGTTCAAGGCCAATTTACACTATGAAGCAAGACCCTGTCTCAAAAACTAACAAACAAAAAAGGGGGTGGGGGATACTTAACTAAAACTAAATAATAATAATAATAATAATAATAATAATAATAATAATAATAACAATAATAATAACAATAATAATAAAATTTTTAAAAATCCAGAAGAAATTTGGTTTGTCTTGCTATTGTCAAACAAGAGATCAAACCCAAGGCTTTGACACTGAAGTATGTCCTCTTTAATTCATTCACTTGAAATAAGAGTCTTGCTAAATTGTTCAGGTTGGCCTTGTACTTGCGTTTCCTGTTAGCCTCCCAAGTAGCTGGGATTACAGGCATGCACTACCATGCCTGGTTGAAAGCAGTTTTAAATTAGATATAGAACACTTAATTAAAAGAAGAAAGTGATGATGTAATCAGGGATGGGCAAATAGGGTATCTTGAATCTTCTATTTTTAAAGTACTATAAATTCATGACCACTCCTATTATCTTTCTAAATTAGGTACCCACATACACATGCCATAAACATGCACATGTGCATAAGGATAAAGTATTTCATTAAGAAAAACTACATGCAGGAAACAGGGTTAGTGATATACATCATAATCCTAGCAGTCCGAGAGGCTTATGCAGGAGGACCCGATTTAAGCCAGTCTGGACAACTTAGCCATTTCACAAAACCTTGTCACAAAATTTTTTAAAAATACATTCATTCATTCATTTAGAAGGTTGGGGATACAGCTAAGTGGTGCCCATATCTGCCTCAGTGTAAGGTACCAAAACAAAACAAAACAAACACCAACATGTTTCACGTTCATTTAAAGACAGGGTATTGCTATACACTTCAGTCTGGCCTTGAACTGCATAGGACAGGCTGGCCTCAAACTCAGGGGAGGATCTTCCTGCCTCAGCCTCCAGAGTGCTGGGATTATAGGTATGCATCACCTCACTCAACAAATAAAAAAAATTTTACAGGGATTTAATTCAGTGGTGCCATACCTGCCTTGCAAGCACAAGGTCCTGAGTTCAATCCCTGGTACTAGGAAAAAAAATTTCTTTTAAGGTCTGGGAATGTAGCTTAATACAAAGGCCCTGGGTTCAATCCCAGTCCTAAAAGACATACATGATGCAAGAGGGAAAAAATTGAAAAATATAGGTAAGTAGAACAAAAATGAACGCTAGGGATACACATAGCTCACTGGCACAGCACTTGCCTAACATGCTCAAGGCCCTAGATTTGACCCTGTGCACAATACCAAAAATAAAAACAAACAAAAACCTCAAGGGAAGGGGGAAAAAACCTAACATTACATAAGCTGATTTAAATATGCTTTGTACATTTTATTATTATATTTTATAAAAACTATGTGGTATATAGCCAGGCTTAGTGGCACTCAGGAGGCTGAGACAGGAGGATCACTGTGAGTCTGAGGCCAGCATGCGCCACGTGGTGAGTTCAAGGCCAGTGTGCACTACATTGCAAAACCTTGTTTCATAAAACAAATTAAAAAAATTTTTTTTAAAAACCATACATAGCTGGGCACAGGTGGTACATGCCTAAAATCCCAGCACTTGGGAAGAAGCTGAGGCAGGAGGATCGCTGTGAGTTCAAGAACAGCCTGGGTTACATAGTGAGTTCCAGGTCAGTCTCAACTACATAGTGAGACCCTGTCTCAAAAAACAAAAAATAAACAAAAACATGCAGAGTATATAATTCAAGAGACTTTTACCTATATATGGAAAACATGCTAAAAATGTTGCTAATAAATAAATTATGTGCTTTGTCATAAAATAGTTTCATACTTTAATGTTTGATGTAAATAGAAAGTAACAGGGATAACCTATCCAAGGAGACTTTGTCAAACAATCATGAGTCTAAGATCAGAAATTAAAGATTAAAAAATTATGCAGAACACACACCAAAAAAAACCCTCTTTCAACGCTAAGTGATATAATTGAGTTAACTAGGAGAAATATGTAATGACAGAGTAAGAATGTTTTTATCAATTTAAATCAGGGCCAGGTGGCACATGCCTGTAATCCTAGAGTTTGAGAGGCTAAGGCAGGAGCAACATTATTAAGTTCAAGGCCAGCCTGAATTTCAAAGTAAGACCATGTCCAAAAAGATAAATAAATAAAAATATGTTTTTATGGATTTAGAAATATTTATGTCCCGTACTCAGGGTTTAAGAATAACCAGGTATGGTAGCACATGTCTGTAATCCCAGAATTTGGGAGGTTGAGACCAGGAGGATCGCTGTAACTTCGAGGCCAGCCTGAACTACATAGTAAGATCTTCCGTCTCAACCCACCCCCCCAGAAAAAAGAAAAACCTTGCTTGGCATGGTGGCACATGCCTGTAATCCCAGGACTCAGGAGACTAAGGCAGGAGGATCTCAAACTCAAGCCCAGACTGGGCTACGTAGCAAGACCCTAACTCAAAAACCAAAACAAAAGGATAACCTTACATTGAGTTAAAGACATCACACCCCAGAGATCTACGCATACTTTTGTTTATAACAGTGCAATTCATAATGCAGTAGCTAAATCTTGGAAAAAGCCTATATATCCATCAACAGATGAATGGATAAAAGAAAATGTGGTATTATGACTCTGCCATAAAAGGATAAACTTGAGTCATTTGTAGAAAATGGATGCACTCTGAGCTCATAATGTGTAGTAATTCACACAAGTTTAAATATAACATGGTTTCTTTTATATGAAAAACTCACATGTATATATAGTAGTATATTACACATATTATACATTACATATACATATGAAATAAAGACAGATAATAGGAAAAAATAGGGAGAAAAAGTATTTTAATCCAGTGCTGGCAACATACCTAAAAGTGTACCTTGACTTAGTACAACTGTCTTACATGTTTTATATATTCTTTGGTCTATTAGTCTGGTTTTCAATCTGTCTATATGATCATTAACTTCATAAGGTCTTATAAATAAATCAATCTGATGCTAGAAGATTAGAGGTGAAGGAAAGGGGGAACAATATTGAGATGTGTTATGGACATGAACCAATTCCCTACAGTGAATATAATCATTATGTACTGCAAATATGTAGTAATAAAAGTAAAATTTTAGATGCTAAAAAATTAAAATTAAATAAAATTAAAATTCAGGGGGAAAAAACAAAAGAACCTTACAATCATGTTCAAACAGATGAAACCTAAGTTTATGCTATCAGTGGCTCTAAGTATGTAACATAGCCAGATCCTGTCTCTAAAAAAAAAAAAAAAAAATGATCTACACATACATCTTGAATGTATTTTTAGAAAAATGATCCAAAACTTTTTTTTTTTTTTTTGGTACAAGAGACTGAACTCAGGACCTTTTTTGCTTGCAAGGCAGGCGGCAGCACTACTAGGCTAAATCCCCGGCCCCCAAATAATTTTAAATATTATTCTTTGAAGAAATGTTATTGTTAAACCACAGCACTCTATAAGGAGATAATTCTAGATAGACAAAGAAAACTTATTTTCAGGAGCTTCAAGTCTTCAAATTCTTTTTTTTTTTTTTTTGGTACCAGGGATCGAACCCTGGTCCTTGTGCTTGTGAGGCAGGTGTGGCATCACTGAGCTAAATCTCAGCCCAAGGAGCTTGAATTCTAAAATTCTACGCAGAAACTGTAAAACAGATTGTTTTGCTCACTTTAATTCTTATGATTATGTAATTTTTAGCAGTTTTAATTAAGAAAATGTACATTTTCTGATGTTTAAGAAAAAACAGTAACATCATTTTGCTCCAATAAATGGGTATGCAAAAATATCTTACGTTTTTATAAAAAAGACTTTAATTTTCTTACTCTAATAATGGGAATACTGATTTATATAGTCACTAGAAAGCAGTATCAACTAATAAATATACTGTGATAGTTTTATTTCAACATGTACCCCTGAAGTGGGGCATGGTGGGGTCACAACTGTAATCCAAGCACTTGGGAGGATGAGGCAGGAAGTAAGTCTGTAAATTCAAGGACAGCCTGGTCTACTTACTGATTTCAAAACCAGCCTGAACTACACAATGGAGACCCTGTCTCAAAAAAGAAAAAAAAAATCCAAACTAAATAAACAAGTAGGCTAGGATGTAGTTCAGGGGCAAAGCACCTCTGGGTTCCACTATTCCCAGTACCAGACACAGCCTGGGCAGTTTGGTGAGGCCTTGTCTCAAATTTAAAGAGAGAAATAGAGAGGGGAGAGAGGGGAGAAAGGGAGAGGGAGGGAAAGAGAGAAGGGAGAGGGTGGAAGAAAGGGGATGGGGGAGAAACAGAGAGAGAAGGGAGAGAGAGAAGAGGGAGAGACAAGGGAGAGAGGGGAGATAGCAGGGGGGAGGGAGAGAGAAGGGAGGAGGGAGAGAGAAGGGAGGAGGGAGAGAGAGAGGAGGGGAGGGAGAGAACCTCCTCGCTTATACCTCCTGGTTCTAAAGCAGAGGAAATTCATGATTCATGTCCTAAAATACCCCTCCCTCATGTTTCCTATAATGTATCTAAATCTCGCAAACTTTCAGGCAAAATGTTGTGGGATATAATTTTTTTACCTCATTAATAGAGTGACAAACCCAAGTTTGGCCAGGGTAGACTTGGGATAAGTCTGTTAATATAGCATAATCAATATCCTTTCTTGGGAGGGCATCTTGATACATGCCTGTAATCCCAGCTATTTGGTAGGCTGAAGCAGGAGGGTTGAAAGTCAAGGCCAACCTGGGAAATTTAGCAGAATTCTATCTAAAAAAAAAAAGAAAAAGAAACAGGGTTTCACTATACAGTCTAGACTGGTCCTCTAACTCTGGATGATCCTCCTGTATTAGCCTCCCACTGCTGGGATTACAGGCATGTGTCACCATGCCTGGCCTATCAAAACTGGTTGTATAACCAACAGAGTTCATATTTTGGTAGTTCACTTAATACTATAACATATAATTATATGGAAATAGAAAGGTAAGACAGTCAATAATAAAATGCCCTCCTAGGCCTTACTTTGCTAAATTCTATGGAAACTTTGCTTAAAGGTATTCTCTCCAGTTAATAGTGAACCAACAGATCTTCTCAGCTAAGAAGTAATTATGCCAATACTAGAGGTAGAACAAGGTTTTTTCCCTGCAGGTTTAAAGTTTGTTGTTTTTTTGTTTTGTTTTGTTTTGTTTTCCCTGCAAGCACCAAAATTTATGCAGAATTAATGAAGAGCCCGAAATGGTGCTGCCTGTAATCCCAGCACTGAGAAGGGTGAGGCCAACAAACTGCAAATTTGAGCCCAGTCTGGGTAATTTGGTGACTTAAGACCCTATGTCAAAAATTTTAAAAGGATGCGGATGTAGCTCAGTGCAAAGGCCAAGTTCAATCACCAGTGCGGGGTTGGGTGGGGGGGACAAAGTAAAGAAGAGGGCCAGAGATTTAGCTCAGTGGAGCTAGAGCTTGTCTGGCAAGTCCTCAGTCCGAGCCCCAGTCTGCATTTAAAAAAAAAAAAAAGAATCAATGAATGAAGGGGACTGGAAACAGCTCATCAGTGGTAGAGCACTTATCTAGCAGGCCTGGGTCTTTGGTTTGATCCCCAGCACCAAATAAACAGGTTTTTAAAAAGAATTATTGGGGGGGGCAGGGATTTAGCTCAGTGGCACCATGATAAATAAGTAAAAAGTAAAAAAAAAAAAAAAAAAAAAAAAAAAAAAAAAAAAAAAAAAAAAAAAAAAAAAAAAAAAAAAATTAATGAAGAACATCATGTTAAGTGAAGTAAGCTAGGCTCCACAAGTAAAGTATCACATATTTTTCCTCATCTGAGAAAACTAGGGGGTAAAAAGAGACTGCAAGAAAAGCAGAAGGGAGATCATTAGCACTGAGGAAGGGAATGGGCAAGGGGGAGAGAATAAGAGGAAAAACGAGCGAAGTATGTTATGCAATGCACAGATATGCCAAAATTAAACTAATATGCTCTAATAAAAAGCCGCTTTAAAGAATTTTAAATTGTATCATCTTCATACACTTCCTAGTGTAACTGGTACTTTCTTTAAGCTTTGTCATGGCTCACTAAGCACCAGCAGAAAAAAAAGAATTGAAGCCAGGCATGGTGGCACATCGTGGTGGCCTGTAATCCCAGGGATTGGGAGGCTGAAGCAGAAGGATTGCCAAGAGTTTGAGGCTAGCCTGGGCTACGTAGTGAACACACAGTGCGACCCTGTCTCAAAAAACAAACAAAAATTGATAGAGGTCTATTTAAATACTGATTACACTTATGGTGTGGGGTTATAACAATCATTTATACCATATCCCTTTATCTCATTCGTCTTCACGACCCTGTAAATATGCTCTAATATTTCCTAAGCCATTGCTGACCTTTGTGAAACTAGCAAATTATCAGCTATAATTTCGAAATTTAAAAGTTCAATTAATTTACAACTTAGAGAGCAAATGAAGATACTGCTTTTTGTCTTCGTTTTATTTAGCATCCCCCACCCCCACAAACTCAGAACCTTGCGCTTGCCAGGCAAGCAGGGCGCCACTGAGCTAAATATCCCTGTCTTTTTTTTTTTAACTGTAGTTTCTACAACCAAACTAAAGAACCAAGGGCCCTAAATAACTTAATACTTTGACCAGCACGCAAACAAAATGGCACACTCTAACCCCTGCTAATGCGAATGAGGGCTAACTCATGGCAGAAACTATCATTTATCCAACTTGCAATCCACTTTAATGTAAAACTATCCGATCTCAATCATTCCAACACAATCAAAGCAATTTAATACTAACTACATTTAGCAGCCTCCCCTTTCCCTAGGGCTGGTGATCAACCCAAAGACCTGGCTCACACAAGCCAGCTAAGCGCTGCACCACTGAGGACGCGCACTACCTCCTTTTACAAAGTTCTGAGGGAGGGGGCAAGGAGGAGAGGGGTTAAGTAAAACGAATTATGCTGTGTTAGGTACACGTATCATCTCCACGAAGTTCTTGCTAGGTAGCACAATCCGGTCTCGAATTTGCCATCCTCCTGCCTTAGCCTCTCCAGCAGCTGGGGTTACAGTCGAGTGCTACCGCTCCCCGCTAGGATCTCACTTTAAATGGAACTACTTAACAGTGTTTTGAAGATTAAGATATTCAGCTCAATCTTTTCACAAAAGATCGCAATCCCGCTTCCAATCGGCATAAATCCTCTGGCTCCGACTCGCGTCAACCCGTCTTTTAAAAGTCCACAGAAAAACTGCCCATAGGATGCACTGTGACATCTAGTCACTTTCCCAAGTCCCTAACACGCGCGGCGGTGCCAGTCTGCCCGCGCGGCCAGGCTCCCCTCTACGTGCCCCTGCCAGTCAAGGAGAACCTGAGGTCCCACCTCTTCCTGTCGCGCGCTCCCTTCCCAGATGTCCATTTATGTAAATAAGCAAAGTGAATGACACTTTGGCACAAAACACCTCGAGTGACAGGGACGGGGCTTCCCCTCCCCTGTCCCGTGCCCACCGCGGGGCAGCCACAGACCTGCTTCCAGGGTGTCCGGCGGGGCCGGCGACAGCTCCGTCGTGGCGGGGGGCAGGTGCTGCGGCGGCTTTTTGGTCCAGGGGTTCTCTCTGGGCGGCGGAGGCTGCAGCGACTCCACCCGGCC